ACTATGTACTAATTATTCCTGGTCTAGTAAACTTAGAATTAATCACTTTTAAATATATGCATGGTATATTTTTCTAATGTATAGTAGAACAGACAGGTGCTACATTGCATGAGCTTCAACATTTATTCCGATATACTGAATTTATAATTATAATTTTTAATTGCAACTTAGTACCGTACATGTTTGTAAATTAATTCGTAAAGAAAATTAAATATTAACTTTTACGAAGAAGGAAATTTTAATCCGCCATATTAAATTTTGAAAACGTTCTGAATTTTTATTCATCAAACACTAAATAAATATCAAAATGCTTCAAATTATAGATATTTGTAGTTTGTATGCTGCATTTGTAACGCATATTCACGCTTAGCACATTCTATGTGCATCGCGTAAAAATACGCTTTTGGTTAACTGCATATAGGATTCAAATAAGTACGTTTATAGTATACCGCCAATTAATGCGGGGGATACTTACACGTACGTAGAATAGCTTGATTTCTGTTGTCATTCAAAATATTTTACTTGTGATAAAAATTGTCAAATAATATACCGGATAAGAAATACATAGAAAAAATCACTCGTACAATATACGAAATTGCTCTGTAAAGAACTTATTAACACTTTGATTGTCGTATATAGATTTTGTTCAAATTTTCATACGAACCATCTATATTATTAAGAATTTATTCGCTTATCTAACTATTTAGAACTATAAATTATAAACATAACAATATATTTGGTTACATTTGTTAACATTAATCCTACCAATAAATAATGCATGCTTACTGCGAAATTAAAAATGAAATTAAATAATAACTAAACAAACGATAAAAAATAAGTCAATATACACATTGATTCTTTATTTTGATGAAAATCAACGTATATTTCAAGAGAACCACATTGACAAATTGTGCAAATTAAAATAAGAAACTTATAAAACTTGACCGCTTGAGTAGTTTCGATATTAAAATTATTATTTAATCAAATATTCAACTAGTTCACTGTGGCAGTAAATATGTCAAAGAGAAATTGTTCGTAAATGTAAATCCTGATCCTGGAAAATGTGAAAATCAATAGAAACGATATTTCCCGTAAAGTGCAACAACCTGCTGATAGACATAGCAGCGATCTCCAGAACTTACACAAATAGCATGAGAAATTGTTTAAGCACCGTGAACTGGCGTCTGGTGTGCGCGTCAAATTCTCTCCGCCATTCTCGGAAATAGTATAAGTACCGACAACTGTGTTTTTTCATCGCGTTGGCTCAATCATGAGCGTAACATCGAAACAGAACGAGCGTAAAGCCGAGCGCCATTAGAAATCCGCGCGCTCCGTACACGACAAATCGTCACGGAACAAACATGTCGTCCTATATTTCGTAGCCTACAGCCGACAGATGCGCTGACAAGCGAGAATCACCTTAAAGGCGTCGTGCTCGACAGATTGCACTGGCGACTGATTGATGCACCCGAACAACAATCGCGTCGGATTCGTGCTACGCCAGCTTCCTCATTCATCTTCTTCTTGCGGCCAATGCATTAGCGACAATACCGACGTGCATTAAGCGCCACCGGCCACTACCGCACTTACGCGTTCCACCAAACGTTCGACCTTCCGTGCCAATGAACCTTTTATGGATATTCTGCTCTGCATAACTACACTGCTGATCTGAATTATCGATATCAATCGAGACCGTATTTCTCTGTTGATTTGATAAGGAATGACACAATGTACTTCACAATTAAACTTCAATATTAACTAAAGATAAAATATACATTACCCTTACGACGCATAATAAAAAACTAACGTCGCGGTCCTTGCAGACACGAAGTGCACGAAGATGTCACGTGACCGTTTACGAAAATTACCGATCTTTCGACACGTAAGACAACAAACGCTCGGATCGAATTGATCGCCATTTGTTATGGTTTGACAAATGACGAAACATAAGAAATATAATAAAAAGTAAATAAACATTTCCCTTTATCTAGCTTACTGTTATAAGTAGTGTTATTACTTTTTTCCTTTGCATTATTTATTTCTTAATAATACATGTAAAACCATGCTATGAGATTTCATAAATTTTGTATATATAATATTGTACTTAATTTAAAAATTCTATTCGTAGGCTAGACAAACAAGTTCATTTATTTGATACTCACTGAATTTAGTAATTAATTGAAACAGAAATTATTTTCAATGATCCACTGCTACTCCTTATGATTAATTAACTGTAAATGATCAAGTTTTCATGCTCTTAACAATCATTTAAATAAATAATTATATAAAAATAAACACGATTTTCCTTGGATACAATTTCTCTTTTCATTTTTCAAATGATAACAATACTTTCTCGAATATCTGTTCACTCTTCAGTGTTTACAAGAAACGTTTAAAACGGAAACATTTAAGGAAACAGTCAACGTGATTTCTTTTATACAAACCTTTGATGGCTTCTTTTTTGAATGACGAAATATAGTTGCAGCTGACGAATTTAATTTCCGGCAATTTCATTGCAAGTTTGATATGGGTCAGCTGCAACTACAGCCTTTAAACTTTCACCATTAATATTTGATTGGCATCCGGAACGTTCGTCATCTTCGGGATTGTAACTTCCCTCGCGAAATTTTCAAAACCAATATTGACAGTTTCACCATTTTATTGAATCAGATCTGTACACTTTAATAAATATTTTTAATAGGTTAAATTGCATTTAAACATTTTCTATGCCAAAACGTGTAATTGTAGGTTAGATTCAGATTTTCAGACTGTATATTTTAATAAACCATTCTTGATATAAATAAAAAAACGGAAGGTCTTGAATTTTTAATTTTTTTTTACATTGCTTTAATACTTTTTACGTCGAACATTATAAAGAAACTGATTTACTTAAACTAAAATACATTTATTCAAATATAATCGGTGAAGAAAATTTTTCTCGAATGTGGAGTTCAGAAATCTTGCAAGTTTAGGAATGTACAGATTGATAATTTGGAAATTTCATGATTCAAGAGTTTGGGGTTTTGGAGATTTGATAAATTCGAAATTTTTTCATTTGAAAATTTGAACATTCGGATATTTAGGAATTTGATAATTCAGTAATTTGAAAATGGGTAAGTTGGAGATTCGAGGTCTTTAGTAATTTAGTAATTTCGAAATTTGAAAACTTGGAGATCCATAATTTTTGAACTTAAAAATTCGAATTCAGAAACTTGACTTAATTTGATATTTTTAAGTTTAGAAATTTGAAAACTTGGAAATCTATAAATTTAGAAATTTAGAAATTTGAAAATTTTGTAATAATGTAGAAACCTGTCTTCCAAATTTCTATCTCTTTTTTTAAAATAAAATTGCATATTTATTTTTACGCAGATTGATTCCGCGGTATTTTAAGAAATTTCCTTTGCCCATGACAATCCATAAAAAGAATTTCTTGCATGGTATCGAAACAGTCGTCGATAAAAATAGTTTTCGATCACAGATTTCGTATTTTGACAAGCAGTTTGACACCCGATCAAAATCGACATGCATGCATACGTTTGGTATGCAGCACTAGAATCATTAATATCTTGAGAATCCTAGTGTGTGGCCAACACCTCAGATCAGCAGGGTTTCCTTCCCCCCAAAATTTAAACACTCTCCGAGTCGACATTTGACAGGTTCAAAATCGTTCAAACTGACGTATTCTGAAGGTGGATATACAGGGTGAGACATCCAACGCACACTATTTTAAACACATAAATTATACGTTTCGTGAAAGCATTATCGTACAGTTCGTATCAAAAGTTTATACGTCTGCTATTTTTTAGTCAAAACATAATTCCTTATGAATGTTTTATTAATTTTGTCGAATGACTGAAATACCTTGAAAAATTATAAAAGTACATTGTTACGAAAGACATATTTTGGTGTTATACAAGTGTTTTTATGATAATCGATCATAAACGCACTTAACACATTGGGGCCAAATTTAAATATCTTTAACGACAATTATAAAGTAATATAAAGATATTTGACATATTTTAAATGATGAATTGAGGATGTATTGAGACTACATTTTATTTAAAATATAGGGTTTCAATATGTACTATAAATATAAATAAATATAATTATAAGTAAATATAGTAAATATAATAAATATAGTATATAAATTATTCTATAAATATAAAAATTTGTAAATTCTTAAGGAGACATTATAATTATAAATTAATGTGTAGACGATAGTGTTTTGAATACTATCATTCACCCTTCGTTCAGTTCTATTGCGAATATGGTACATAAAATAATATGTTATGAAACTTTTATATTTTGTCACACTGTTGAAAACTTTTCTTATCTTTTGTAATTACCTACAAGTTTTTGTTAAAAGAAACTTGTGAATTTGCATTGTTAAATTGTTACAAAATATTGAAAATTTACGATAACATATCATTTTTCTTAAACTCAGATTCATATAGTATTTGCAATATTATATTATCTTTTATTCATTTTTTTGTATTAGTATTAAGTCCTTATGGGAATTTAACAATGCATTTTCTCGAAATTGCCCATGTTGTTAGAAGAAGTTTGTAGGAGTTTCCCAAAAAAGGGAGTGCCATTAGTAAACTTTAACTAACATAATTTATTTAATTTGACTTAAATTTTATACAGTTATAAAGAAACCAAAAATGTACGATTTTGTAAAAACATAATACACAATTCTCAAACATAAAGGAGAAATTTAAATTCAGTTCTTACAATATGCTATATTTCTCTGAGGTTTAACAGTTGGACTAACTAATAACATATAAAAGTAAACACGAGTTAAGTCGGTAACAGCGTTTGAGCAGTATAGCACGAGTTAACGTGTGACCAGTAAACAATGTGTTAATTTGTTCATTTCCATTTTTAAAATTAAAACCTATAATTGTAATTCTGTCACTAATAAATTACACATTTTGATGTTTTAACAGGGAACAAAATAATAAAACTTGTTACGAGTAATAATGTTATGTATCTAGGGACGTATGCCGTTTATGCGTGCAATGAGCATGGAACAACGATGGCAGGATTTGGCATCTCTTCTATCGCTACCCGGTGCGCCGGATCATTTTGCACATCCTGCACATCCTGGATACCCAGGGCACGGTATAAGTCACAGTCATTACGAAGCACAACGTAATGTATTACTTCACAATGCCACGTTGGCTCCACCTGTAGGTGATCTGAATTCCACGAATCCATATCACAATGTTGGTAAGTATAAGATTTTTCTTTCTTACGAATAATCTTTTATTTTATAATAAAAGTGTTAATAATTTATTTTCTAATAAATGTTTGGAGTGTTCTACTCAAAATATCTTCGCATTTTCAAAGTGAAACTTCTGTAAATGTTATTCGAAGATGTCAGATACAAACATGACGAAAAGTACAAACAAATTCTCAAATTTCTTCCTAATCTACAAATTTTCAAATTTCCAAAGGCTGAATATTCAAATTCTTATATTCCTTAATTTTCAGAAGTTAAAGTCTGCAGATTCTTAATTCATTACATTTCTAAATCAATTCTCAAATTTCGTTAGTCCCCTAAATAACATAAAATTTCTAAACTCCAAAATATATAAAATTCAAAATTGCCAAGCCCCTACGACTTCAAATCCTCGAATTCTCAAATTTCAAAATCACTAAATATTTCAATCGCTGACCTTCCAAGTTCCCCAAATTTCAAATTTCGGAATTTTTAAATACTCAAATGGACAAATGACCTAAATTTCTAAATTTACACATTCTTAAATTGTAAAATTCTCAAATTTCCAACTCCTTAAATTTCTAAATCTCCAGATTTCGAATACCCTAAAGCCCTAAAGCCCTAAATTCTTAAATTTCTGAGTTTACCAAGTTGTCAAGCACCAAACTTTGCACATCCACAGATTTCTATCTATAATAAATACCGAAGTTTCACTAATAAACAATTTATTTTAAGATATGGAAAGTCTTAACATAATTTGATGATATAAAGTATGATGAAATAGCAGTTGTGTCAATTCAATTAAAAATTGCTACAAGTAACTATGTTTCAACGACATGTTTAATATAAAATGTTTTATTGTGTTAAGATAACAAGTCTATCACTTAGGCGTGATAAATAATATCAAGATGAGCACATTGATAAGTATAGACAAGAATATATCTAAAAATTAAGTGGTTTGATATATGGAGTGTTTCTGCTAACTGAGACGATCTGTAAACTGATAAAAGTAAAAAAATGTAGAACAATCAATTAGGTAGTACAACAGCGTTCATATTTCTACCATTTCAATTTTTTTTAAGTACAAAGTACATAAAAAATATAAATGTACTTGCGACTTTTGTAATGAAACTATATATAAGTTTTTTATATAGATCAATTCTTCAGAACATTTTGCAAAAAAAGTATGAGAGTTAAAACATCAATAATAATGACATGTTACAAATTTTGGAAATAAGATTTTTTGTACAAAAATATGAAATATCTCACAAATTGTTTTTGTTTTTTACACTGAACCTTTATACTTTTTATGCTTTTTATGCTTATGTAAGGATATGTAATTTCAGTTCTCAAAACAGTGCATATTTATTGCATTTTTTAAATCGAATTGTATACTTGCTTTTGTACCATTTTTTGTAAGAACATTATTTCCATAATTCCAGTTAAAAAAAGACACCCTCTATATTGCCCACTCGACCAAAATTCAATTTTGGTTAATTACTATTTTATCACATTGCTGCAAATGGCTGAAGAATTGTATATGTATAACGATAAAACAATTCTATTTTGTTTTTAAATATTTGAAAAAAGATTCTGAAAAGTAACAGTTCTATGAATTTATTTCACAAATTCTATAAACATTTATTTGAATCAAAATTTATTACTGAATTAAAAATTAATTACATCTTATCCAGCTAACGTTGCAATTATTTAAACTAATTACTCAAATACAATATTTACTCATGATACCAGATGAATATACTATTCGAATTAGAAGTTATCTAATCGTTAATAACTTATTTGTTACTCGTAAGCATAACTAACTTTGTTAAATACGTATATTTATATATATTTTAACAAACAAGATTGAATCAAAATTTACGTAACCGAACAAATTTTATATATCATCTAACATTTTGGAACTAAAATACTCATTATCACAGGTGGGTCGTCAAATCTAGGTTCAGCGGTGGCAACATCAATGAACTTAACGAACAGTAGCGAACCAATCGGGGCAGAAAGTGGAACAACTTATAAATCTGAACCAGCTGATATGATGTATTATCATACACCAACTTCCGATTCGATTAATCAAACAACCGATGGTTTTCTTTCCTCGCTTCTAAATGATGAGGACCTACATCTGATGGATATGGCCATGAACGACGGTATGTACAACTTTTATTACATTTCTATTATATTCACATACTTGAAATCAGGACTTTTAATAATTTCAACTTTTTAATAATTAAGAATAACGAACGATACGATATCAGAAGACGTTAAAAAAAAAATTACACACTTTTTAACTGTAGCATTTTATTATAAAATGAAACGTATAAAATAAAGTTTATTTATAAAATAAAATACGGTATTTTCGACTTTATCTCGATTTTTTAACTTTCTTCTTAAAAACTAACGTTTGTACGATCGATAAAGTACAGCGACCTGTATCTTCGGATACAAGTGGAACGGTTTTCACAAATTATTTGTCATGTCTTAAAGTTAATGTGTTCTCACCAACGACGGTAACATTGTTATCTTACGTGTTTAAACTTATATCTAAAGAGGTACGGTGATACAGTCTACGTTTCGCTTAAACGCGTATTGTGTAATCAACAAAAAAAAAATCGACTAAAAAAATAATAGGTCAACTTCCATGGATTTCGATATCATACATCAACGTTAAATATAAGAAAATTTAATGAAACGATTCAGTACCTCTGACTTAGTACGAAAAGAAACAAAGCTTATTACCATTTTTTAATAAAACGATATAAAAAAACTGAAGGAACAAAGTTTTCTACCATGCTTCGTCTGGTTCAGCTGACACTGCAGGGACAAATGCTTCTTCACCATATGGTTCTCCCGTTGCTTCTTCTTGAAACTACACAAAAAATACATACATTACAAATATGAATCTTATTTGTTTTCTAAATAATATAGAATATATTCATTACATAGTGTATATGTCAGAATATGATTCAAAATTTACTTACACCTCGAATGTCTTGTCCACCGAATTTGTCTCCTCTACCAGGCATGAAGTTTCTACTAGCATTTCCGCAAGTTAGCCAGTCTGGAACAGGTTGACCTGCTTGTTTCAATATTCTGACAAGGTCGCCTCGTAATGGTGCATCATCCTCTGGATCAAAGAAAGAAGTTGCTCTTCCTCGATTTCCGACACGACCTGTCCTTCCAATTCGATGAACATACTCGTCAATTCCTTTTGGCATGTCATAGTTTATAACATGAGATACATTTTTTATGTCTAAACCTCTGGCAGCAACAGCCGTAGCTACTAAGATAGACATTCTTCCGCTTTTGAAATCAGCTAATGCTTCTTCTCTTTGCCTTTGTAATCTGTCGCCGTGAATACTGGTAGTAGGATAATTATTTTCAGATAAAAATGCAGCAATAAAATCTGCTTTCCTTTTCATTTCAACAAACACCAAAGTACCACTCAATGTACCTGCATCATTTTCTCTTTCTAAAACCTCTCGAAGCATATCTTTCTTTTTATTTTTGGGAACTTCATAAAAGTTTTGTTCTACGTCTGAACATGCACCACCCACAATACCGACTGCGAGGAATAAATAATTATTCAGAAATCTTCTTGCTAAATGTTGCACTTCATCTGGGAAAGTAGCAGAAAACATTAACGTTTGTCTTTCTTCGAGAGGAACCATAGTTTCGTGATCTACAATTTTTTCGATGCAAGGTAAAAATCCCATATCTAACATACGATCTGCTTCATCTAATACAAGAAATCGAACAGAATTGAATTTTATTCTGCCCCTGTCCAGGAAATCTATTAGCCTGCCAGGTGTGGCTACGAGTATATGACAACCTGCAGAAAGTTTTCCTCCTTGATGAATAACAGATGTTCCACCATATGCAACTACAGTTTTTATAATTGACTTCAATGCAAATTTAACAATTTGTTGCCATATTTGAATAGTAAGCTCACGAGTAGGCGATACTATGATCACTTGTGGTTCACAATGTGACCCAGTCACAACTAAATCAGTGGGCTTTTCTAATAATGTGTTTATAATGGGCACTGCAAATGCAGCAGTTTTTCCTGAACCTGTTTGTGCACACGCCATTAAATCACGACCACTCATTATGATGGGTAAAGCATGTTTTTGAACTGGAGTAGGTCTTGTATATCCTGATTTTCTTATATTTTCTAAAATAATATTTCTCAGCCCAGCGGATTCAAAACTGTCTATTGGAGGAGGTACATTTTCTCCGCTAACTTTAACTTCAATATTATCGTATTTATCAAAATTAATGCCCATTGCAACACCATTTTCAAATAAAGTATTTTCATCATCAGGTAAATCAGGTGGAATATAGATCTCTTTAGGTTTCTGAGGTTCTTCGTCATCATTGCCGTCTTCTCCGTAAGATGGTCCTTTCCGTCTATTACCTCTATTGTTATGATCGTTGTCATCATCCTCATAATTCTCATACTTTTTATAATCATTGTTTCCATCATCATCACCCTTATTTCGAAATCCACCACGACCTCCTCCTCCACCTCTACCACGATTTCCTCCTCCTCTACCTCGACCACCTCCTCTACCACCTCTACCTCCTCCTCCTCTACCACCACCTTCAAAATTACTGCTACTTTGAGATTGCCAATTATGTTCACTGTCAAAGTTATCGTCATTATTGCTTCTGCCATTGAAATTTTTGTTATTTGAGTCCCAATCATCGTTATTATTATTCTGTACTATAAATCCACGTCCTTTTCCATAACTACGTCCACTTTCTTCGAACTAGTTCAATAAACATATAGTAAGTTTTATATCACTTTTAGATTATTTTTGTTAAACTAAAAGGATTTGGTACTTACACTAGATAAATCTTGTGTACTCGAAGAGCATATAGGCTGACCCCAATCATCTTGATCCATTGTATCTGAAACAATTACATGTCAGCAGTTATAAAAAACAAAATGTCTACAGTACTAATAGAGAAAGATTTAATTCGAAGTTATTGATTCTTATAATTGTATCATAACTTAACAACGTATTAAAAGAATTATAAAAAATTGATAATTTCAAAATATTACTTTATATAATTTGGAATATATATTTCCAAATGGATATATATCCATATATATATATTTCCAAATGGATATATATCCTTATGGATATATATTTCCAGATCGATAATATTTAACAATGTTTCCTGGTTAACAAAACCGGTTTACAAGGACATCGTAACCCACAGCATAATTCGCGAAGACATTGTAACAGAAAAATCGATACAAACAGTAATATATAACTACTTCTGCGTTAGTAATAATCACGTTTTTTCGAGTAAAAAAAGAATGCTATAAAACAAAAGACGATAAAATTTTTCTTCTATAATTTATCGATCTGTAACGCGATTTTATGCGATGTTACTTTGGTTGAAACATGAAATGTTTCACATCGTTGAAAATCCTAACAACCACTTGAATAAACATTAATTATTCTCTGCTTTATTCGATAGTATTTTACTCAAGTAAGCGTGACTGTCATTTAGTATTAACAACGTTTATTCTTACTTAACGCGTAGTAAACAGAACACGTGCAGAGACAGGTAAAAGAAAGCAGTGTGTTTGCCGGTAAATATGGCCGAAAAATATTGGCAGAAAATAAAGTGATATTTGATAATACTTACTTTATGATTCTTATCAAAGATATATAAATGGAAATTATAAACACCGGCAGAATCGAACAAATTGACGTAATAACTTGTCTTTACTGGTAACTGCCAAAGACGAATGAGACAGACCAAACAAGAAAGTGAAAACGCTGACAATGTTCGACCGTTACCACTGGAGAACAAAGAACTGACAGAACAGCTAACTTGAAAGTATATGGTTCCCACCAATCAGTAACGAGCTTCAACGCGCATGCGCGTTCTGCACTGCGTTTGATTTGTACAGTAATGTATCAAAACCTTGACGTACCCGTACCCTCTCAAAACATTTCCAAACAATTAAAATAATAAATCAATGATTTGAAAACTTAGTGTAAAACAATTAGATAAAAATATTTGACAAATAAGTTATTTCTAAATTTTAATCTTTCGCAATAACTAATAATTTATTGCATATGAATAAATCGATTACTGTATTTTGAGAAATTACTTTATTTCATTTTATAATACTGTTTACAATTGTCCAAATTTTTGTTATAAACAGAAACTATCTACAAAATTTATTCTAATTATTAGCACTCATTCTGTTATGTTCGTAGTATGTTATAAAATGTTCATAGCGTTCAGAAAAAAATATTCATTTAATAGTTTATCATATGAAACAGTGATATGCAGTCTTTTTTATATTTTTTATATTTTAGCCGAAAATGAAAGAGCGTCTTCATTTTAATCACCCATTACATTGCACAGAAGGGTAGTAGGTCTATAATAACCCAAAAACATCGCTTCGAATGAAAACCTAACGATGGTCAAGGTTAAATCTGTTTCGTCTCTAATACTGTAACGATTTGTTGGTAGTATGGGCTATTGTTATACGTATTTCTAAAAATTTGTAAACCAAAATAAAACAAAGCAATAGTTCATTTTTAAATTATTTGCACTTTGTACTCTACCTTGCATATGAACAAAAGCAATCAAAAGTTATAAAATATAACATACTGATTAACCTATTGTTTGAATAAGTTTATAAAAAATTATTTACAAGTAAACCGTAAGAGTACATAATGGTGCAGTAATGTTCGATATTTTTAATTCCAAATACGAATGTTTATTCATTGACGTAATATATGTATATTGCAAATAATGTAAATAATATTAAATAATACATTGATAGAACTTACTACAATATTCTGTCAAATTAATAATAATTTCTCGTCACTTTATTCTTTTTGTGCAAACTTTCGTTTCATTTTTATAGCAAGTATAAATCGTGACAATATTTACCGGATTTTTTGTGACTTGAATACCAACCTTTTAGAGTCACAAAGAGGCGCGAGTTTATACGAATTTCAAACATATCTCATGTATCTATTATCTATATTCTTTGCATCGTTTAATTATTTGATTATTCAATTTAAATTATATTTTCAAATTGATTATTCTGCTTAAAAATGTTTAATAGAATTTAAATCGGAAAATATTACACAGTAATTATTTTTTAATTAAGTGAAAGTTATTCTCTTGAAAATAATATGCTCTTATTATTCTTGATTTTAACATAGTTATCTGTTACATCATTTATTACGAATAAATTTCCGCATTGTATAGACACCGTCGCTGTGTTTTACTATTGCTTCAATATTTCTCTTTTCAATTTTTCTCATCTTCATCATATTAATTCTTTCCTCATCAGTTCCTGTAAATCGAATTTGCATTCATTATAGAATTTTTAAAGTTAAATTTTACTGAATACTGTATTGATGTAAAATATACCGGTTGTTTGTTTACAATCTTGACCTATGATGCTTGTATCATACGCACGCGTTAAAAACACGGTTTTTAGAAGTTAAAAGAATGTATATTTCTTGTTCTATCTTCTGTGCCTGATATTTTTAAATAACGAAATACAGAAATAAGGACAACTTAAAGAAATAACTTTCGTATATTGCACGTGAAATCAATGCCAAACGTTAATTCAGTTGTGGAGAATGACTCATAAAATTGAATCGCTTTAGAATTAAAAATTGCTTCAATACAGGAAAAAATTGCAAAGAGTTGAATGATGTAAGATTTTGTATGTTTTCATAAGCTCAGTCCTTTTGTAAACGCAGTGATATGTCTAAATACACTGTTTTTTAAATGAAACTATATTTTTTTAGATGGACCGATTTAACTGAACATTTTATATAAGAAACGTTAAAGTACAATGTTGAAAAAAAATTATTTGTAAGATAATATAAAGTCATTGAAACATTTTGTAGAAAAATTTTAAATATCTTACAAAGCATTTTTCATTGTACCCTAATACCCTTATATCTGGAATGTTCAAAAAAATTGATCTAATATATAGGTAAAAGTATAAAGTTCTATTTTTAAAAATAAAAGTCACTGTAAAATCTTGGAAAGTATCTTGAAATGACTTTCATCTTCATAGCTTCTCCCTTGAAATATAACAACCTTTATTCGAATTTTTTTATGGTTTTAGAAAAAACGAAATATTTAATGATGACAGAGTTGGGTATATAATTCTCTTTTTATATGAAGAAAGTTCAGAATTTTTTCGCATTTCATTGGAACTCAAAGTCTAGAAAGTTTTAATATCTTAATCGATACCGTGTCACTTAATCCATGAATCTTTGTCCCGGGAAAACGTAGATAGTCTACATGTACAAACAACAGAGAATATCTCAGTAAATGTATGAACTGTAAATTGCGAAAAATACAAAACCACTTGGAAATAAAATAAAATATTTTCTAACAATGTATAAACATAATGATGTATATTCACAAAGTTTCATAATTCTTTTTAATTTTCGGTTCCAGTATCGTTTCTTGTCAGTATATTGACATTTACCATTTTATTATCTATAATTATTAAATCTTTTTCAAATTGGATATTGTTATTAATAAAAAAGAGATAAATCAAAAGATACAACTTTAAATACGATAAAAATAATTTTAATATTATCTCAATCGATGGAAATTGATTTTTGTTTTATTTATCTTTTCTTCTCTTTTATTTCGTTTCTCAGATTGAAATGTTGCCGCATACTATTTAAAATTGGAAGTTTTGAATGCATTTATACAATCAATTACGTAATGCATACTAAAATAATCAGAGATAAGCTTTGCAACAACGATGACAGAAACAGTAACATGAGTAGATGATACACCGCTTTTTCAACTGCCATAAACACGCGGGATCGTAGACGTTTCTGGTTTCAAGAGTCGTGATACCACTTAAACTTTTAGAGTTTAAATAAAATTCGAAGCGATTTAGAATTCAAACATGCTTGAATTACTTGAAAAATTACAAAAAGAAGTTTTAAATCTCCATCACTATGATTATATTTGTGTAAGTAATATACAAAATATTTATTGGAATGAAGTATAACTTTCTTTTTGATACTTGCTTTATTGATGATTCGTATGTCATCGACCTCTTTTATAATATCAAACAATACTATTATATCAGAATATAATATCAGAAATATCTCTTTCGTCGTGTTTTTTAAATGTTTTCAAAAATTTGAGCAGTCATGAATATATCAAAACATGATTATTATTTACAATACAGTTATGAAATAAATTATTCTGTAACACTGTTTTGTAGATGCAAAAATCCTCAGTCGTTGAGTTTTGATTATTTATTTTTCAAATGTTTAAATGATTAAATGATCAAGTTTAGAAATTGTAAAATTTTTAAATGTAAATATTTATAAATATGTAAATTTAGGGATTTGAAAATTTAGAAATTTAGAATTTTAGAAAATTAGAAATTTAGAAATTTGAGAATCTTGAAATTTAAACATTTGAAAACTTCGAAGTCTGAATTTTTAGAAATCTAACGATTGTAAACTTTGATAATTTACAAATTTAGGAATTCAAGGATTTAATAATTTAGGAAATTTAAGTTTTTGAAAATTTTTAAATTTGGTTCTCTAAAATTAAAAGCAAATAATGTGAGGCTTCTGGTCTGTAGTTTTGTTAAAGGAAGCCTATATTGTGCCCCGGTGTGCACACATATTTTTTTTTAAATCGAAACTATTTCGAGCAAATGAATTCTTAAAAATATTTTTCTAAAAAAAGTATTAAAAAAAATTTGCACAGTTCACAAAATATTTAAAATTTGAATTATTTTAACATTATACCATCATGCTTTTTTTAACAGAATATTACGAACCAATAATCTATTCTGACCCTCACTTTGCATAATGTGAACGCAGCTTAAGACATAGAGTGATACAATCAGGGCTGTATTTAGCATGACTGCGACAGGAGTTATGAATTTCTCTATATTTTTGTTATCAGTTCGTTTCACTCGGATCGTATTATTCGTCATAAAGATGCACACACGTTAATCCGTACAAAGATAGAAGCAATAAGCGCGACGCACGTGTAACAATGACGAATAAGACAAAGAAAAGAGGAAAAAAGAAAAACCCAGTTTCATCATAGCAGTCAGTAGACACGATAGGACCAGCTTTCATTGTAGTGTCGTCGTAATTTTACATTCAGTGTGTTGAATCAAACGAATAGTAGCTTGTAACGTTGTGTATAATCTTTTTTGTGGATTATTAGTGGCATTATGAGTGATGAAGTTCAATCTGAATTTGTATTGTGTCACAATTAAATCTTGAAGTACAGGTTTGTATCTTTCACACATTTATTTTATTTCTCACCTGATTTTGTGATATGATAACAGTATCAAGTTTCATGTTCTTTTTCTTTCCTTATTCAAATCTTTTACACTATCTTTTATTTGTATTCACTTCAAAAGTAAAGTAATTTATTACTTTTCTTTTATTAATTCCGGTTTATCGTACTTATTTTTCGCATACGACTTTATCAAACTACGGTTTAGAAAATCCTAGTCAAATTTTATTTACAAATGTCGTTAAAATTATAACGTTTAATAACTTTTTAAATAGTTTGGTAACATTTTTCATTAACGAGTACAAGGTTTGCATTATTCAAACAGTAAAATTGTTATTAATTGTAAATCGTTTCAAGTTCTTTTTTTTTAGAAAGTTGTTTTAATCATGTATTTAATCATGCATGTATGTATTTAATCAAAAATAAATAACGAAGAAAGGTTGCAATATTTTTGTAGAATCATGTTGCCGTTAACTACGATTTCATTGTAACAGTTTTTCAAATTCTGAATCTTAAGAGCTGTTTAAGTTCTGTTTAGAATGTGAAGTGCCCATTT